TTCACGCCTAATAGCTCGTCTGGTCACATTGTGTTCAGAACCAGCCGGGAGGTGCCTTCTAGCTTCCAAAAGGTTCACGGACCTCTCGGATATCCAGTGACTGGTGCGATGACGATTCATAGTGCCACAAGCAGATGCTCCTGCGTCGTGCATAGTGGCCGAGATCCTATTCCACTGAAGTTCAGGATCATTAGAACAAGACAACGAGAGTTCGCTATGCAGTGCTTCTTGATAGGCTTGCCTGACAGAGGGCTGGGACAATTTCTCCGTTGCCAATCGGGGGAGACGCTTTGTGCGCCTTCCGGTAAAGTTCAAGGAGAAACGACAGCGCACCAAGGCATGGTCAGAGTCGACACAGGTACTCCAGTACGAGCGGCAATCCAGAATGGAACCACGCCACCTGTAACTTATGGCTATGTGGTCAATTTGGGTCCATCGCTGGCCAGCTACAGGTCGGCGCCAAGTGGCACTTCGGCGCCCACTGTGTCTAAAAGCAGTGCTAGTAAGAAACAACTGGTACTCCGCACACAGTTGCAGCAGACGCTCGCCGTTGTCAGTCCATTCGAAGTTAAGTCATACTTACCACCCAGCTGAGCTTCTGAAGAGCTCAGACGCCCTACTAGTGCGCTCATATCCCCTGCAAGTACTATAATATCTGAACTAGTAGCACTGGGTAGTAGTGCGTTCAGTTCGTGATAGGTGTCCTTGACTGCATTAGAACTGCAGTCGATGGGAGCATAAACGGAAATCACAAACAAACAGCGTTATGTTTTACTTCGCGAATTCACCTTAGCTGATGTCGTCAAACGGGCTGCACATAAACGGCTGTTCACCGGAACCCAATCAACCAACGATGACTCAGCCTTGAAGCTGAGAATGATATCTACACCAGCTTGACCCGTGAGTGCTGCATCGGCGTCTTCGGATGCGTGCAACCAATAACGAGAGGATAAGCCGGGTGTAGTCAATCCAATAACCACAGGAGGGTCAGTGATCCTAGTTTCCGACACACAACACACATCAATACCCAGTGTGTTTAAGGTGCGTGCGAGTGCAGCCTGCTGACCTGTTTGTCTTAGAGTGCGGACGTTGAATGTCGTCATGGAAACGGGACAGCGTGGCCTTATAAGGGACTTTTGCCGACAGGCGTCCGATAGGTGGGGAAACAAGTTGATGGCAAGTGTCGGCCTCTGCGCATGGCGTGCGCCGACGAAACTGCTCCAAGGTTAGTACTGTCCCGCCTCGGTCGCCTAAAGGGGATGAAAATTCATGTCCGGCCAGACCTTGATCCCGCAGAACGAGAGCAGCTGAAGTCTGCCGTGATCGAACTGAAACGACGCACGGACGCCGGTGAAACTAACCTGCGTATCGTAAATTTTCGCACAGTTGCCCGGATACCCCGAATCCGGGTAGACAGAGGAATGACGCTTCAAGCTCGCCCAGCGGTTCCTACCGCGGATTGCGTGTAGCGTTCGTTAATGTATGCAGCTTAATGAACAAGCACGATGATCTGATCCGCTTCATTGCTTCACGTCGGCCAGATGTGGTTGGTTTGGCTGAGACGTGGTTGACATCTGAAGTGACAAACGAAGAAATTGCGATCACGGACTATTCGTGCTTCCGCTGTGATCGACAGTCGAATAGCCGCGGTGGCGTCCTACTTTACCTCCGGTCTACCCTGTGCGGGAGACTCGTGAGCACCTACCGAAGCATTGACGGTCTATGTGAGCAGCTGTAGTGTTCGATCCACCTACGACGCGGCGAACTGCTTGTGGGTGTGGCATATCGTAGCCCACTGAGTAACGGATTGGATTGGCTCACACACGTCCAAAACCAAATGAGTCGCCCGCAGTTCCTGCTCACTGGCGACTTTAACCTTCCTCGAATCTTATGGCCTGAAGTTCAGCTTCTCCCTGGCCATAATGAAGTGGAGACAAGATTCGCCGAACTGGTACTGGAAACCGGAACGGTGCAGCACATCACGCAACCCACCCGCATAACCCCGCGCTCAATGCCATCATGCCTGGACCTGCTGCTAACCAGCTGCGAACAAACAGTGTATGACATAGAAGTTCTTGAGCCCATGGCGGCCAGTGATCACTCGACAATTATGGCCACTATAGACCTGCAGCTTCCATGTGTGCGTCCAGTGGCGCCAGCATACAACTATTGGAAAGCTGACTTCGATGGCCTCATTCTAGCTGCCAATCAGCTTGATTGGTCTATGCCACAGGATTCATCCGTTGAAACTTGCTGGGCAAACATTAAAGGGGCAGTGCACTCATTGTGTGCGCAATTTGTACCCCTCAAGACTCGGAAAGTTGGACCAATGAAACCCCATTGGTTTGACAAAGAGTATAACCGACTGTCTCGACAACGACGTCGACTATGGAATGCGTTCCTCCTGTCTGGCTCTGCCGATGACTATGAGGCATACAAGCGACAACGAAACTTGTGCAACAGCACAAAGACGCGAAAAGGCCGTCAGTTTGAGGAGCAGCTTGCTTGCTCAGCTAAAACTGCCCCGAAGCGCATATTTGCGTACGTGAAGCGACGCCTGAAGTCTGCAGGTGATGTGCCGGCGCTAGTGGGTTCGGACGGACAACCACTAAGTTCAAGCACTGAGCATGCGTCCGCATTAGCGGCGCACTTCGCTTCTGTATTCGCAACTAACCAAACCTGCGCGCCAAGCTCTGCCGTCGCCGCACCGACTGAGCTAACCGACTTGATCTGCGACGTCGCGGAGGTACATGGGCTAGTCAGCTGCCTAGACAGCACGAAGCCAGCTGGACCGGATGGTCTCCATCCGCTGATACTCAAGTCCTTGTCAGCTGTGATCTCACCTGCTGTAACCGACCTGTTCAACCGATCCCTGTCCATAGGCTGCGTGCCTTGTGACTGGAAATGCGCCGTTGTCAAACCGATTCCAAAAGGCGGTGACACACGCAAAGTGGAGAATTCCCGCCCTATTTGTTTGACCGCAGTATTGTCGAAAGTTCTGGAGAAGATTGTGAAGAAGAGACTGCTCCAGCTACTGGAGACCAACTCTCTCCTGACGCCTGCACAGCATGGTTTCGTGAGAGGCCGCTCGTGCATCACTAACCTGCTGCTAACATGGCATGAATGGTTGCAAGCAGTAAACCAACGTAAGTCAGTCGACGTGGTATACGTCGATTTCAGTAAGGCCTTCGACAGAGTGAATCACGAGATCCTCCTTCAGAAACTGAGGGAGTGCGGAGTCGGAGGCTCGCTGCACCAATGGATCCGGGACTTCTTAGTTGGACGGAAGTGGAGGGTGCAAGTCGACAGCCACCTGACCGACTGGTACCCGTCGACGAGCGGCGTTCTTCAGGGGACGGTGCTTGGCCCCATTCTCTTCCTGATTCACATCAACGACGTGCCCAATCTCCTTCGGTCGCCGTGTGCCTTGTTCGCGGATGACCTGAAGCTATGGAGGGTGATCCATACGTCGGACGACTTTGACATACTTCAGCAGGACCTCGACCGCCTCTCCATGTGGTCCGCCGAAGTAAGTTTGCCTATCAACTCGGCAAAATCGCTACTTCTGTGCCTCAGTAAAGGTGGAGCGGGCCGATCGTACACTCTCGACGGCCAAGTTCTACACCCGACGCATTGCGTCAGAGACCTTGGCGTTATACAACGTTACGACATGAAGTCACTGGACAACACGGACAATATGTATCGCACAGCATTGCGTTCGCTGTGGGCGCTGAAACGTAGCTTCTGCACCTGGTCGAAAGAGATTGCCACTTGTCTCTTCACATCCATTGTACGACCGGTGCTAGAATACGGCTCGCCCGCCTACTGTCCGTTGACGAAAGGCGAGATACACAAGCTCGAAAGAGTACAACACAGCCACACGGCTCATTCCCGGTCTTCAGGGTGTGCCGTATGAAGAAAGATGCAGACAATTGGGTCTGTATACTCTAGCCTACCGCCGCGTGCGAGTGGACCTCATCATGACCCATCGGGTATTGCATCTGGGTGCTTATCCGATACTGAGGCCACTGCTCCATGTCCGTGCGTCAAGCAGCACACGAGGTCACCAGTACAAACTGGTAGTCCCTGACCTCAAGTGGGTAGCTCATCCCTTGTGTCTTGAGCGGCGAGTGGTGAACATGTGGAACCGTTTGCCCTCGCGGATAGTAGAAGCGAACTCGGTGTCGGAATTCAAACGATTCCTGGACGCGCACTTTGCGGATGCCAGATTCGACGAAGCCTTCACAGGACACTGACGAAGGAATCGTTCAATGATTATAACCCATGGAGCCCGTTAATCCACCAACTGCAGCTTCCGAAACCATGCCCATCCGTAATAGGCGGCGGAGCTGGTGAAGGACTCCATGTGGTTCATCCAAGAATATATCGTAAGTACATGGAGATTTTTTCTATGCTTGTAAATATTTTACTTTTTTCACCTGGGCTAGCTCACTACTACAGGTAACACTGTGTCAGTGGGACATGTCCTACATTGAGACATAGCTACATAGATGTTCAACATCTCTCGCTATCATGACAGTAAAGCAAAGTAAAGTAATGTGGGATGGTGGCTGCAGATGGTACTACTCCAGTAGCACTTCGGTTGCTGTCAATAAGGCTGGGAATTATAGAAGCAAGGTTAGTAATGGGGGCCGGTATGGGAGTAAGAGAAAAAGATGGAAAAGAAAGGAGGCGCCAGCAGTAGCATGTTTTCGCTTATCCGCCCTGTTGGGTCAATGAGGTACGTAAACCGTCGCTGCAACGGGCAATATAAATCAACCCAACAGACTTCAGCGAGGATGAAATCCCATATCATGAGACATTTATTGGCAGTCTGAGTACGAATTAACTCAATAACCTTAGTGGAGATACTTCCAGGACTTCGATACACCGCTACAATTGTAAACTGAGCAGAAGTGCACACAAGTCGACAGGGCTACAAGAGTTTGAAGAGGAGACTGGAAAACATGAGTCCTCAACATATCAAGTTTGCAACTCACAACGAGCGACGCTCCAACCTTCAAGTGCAAATTCAGTTGGGATCAGAACGATAGGATATACCCGTGAATGTCCATTCTTTGCGTATCGTCAAATCGGGAATCGATAGCTCTGCTTGAAATTTTGAAAAACTTAAGACAAAGACCGCATCACACCCTGTCCAACCAATTATTGCCCACATTTTCCTGCCCAGCAGTTCCTGCCAGGCCAATTTATAGGAAGTAAAAGAGTGAAGGGTAAGCTAAGAAAACAATAGGATGAATGACAGCTAAATAATTATAGTACCGTGATAAGAAAAGTTTAAGAAAGAATGGAAAGTTGAGGATGCAAGTCGGTTAAGAGAAGGGGAGGGTTTGGTACTGCCACCCAAGAGCATCTAACTGACGCTCGAAGCCCTCTACCGTAGGCCCCCTAACGACGTGCTCCGGAAGCGAGTTCCAACGTTCAATAACTCGACGCGACAAGCGAGTTTCCGTCCTTACCCGGTCAGAACGCAGTTTGTGCAGCTTCAACGGGTGACCTCGGAGACTAGGCACCTTGGCGGGACTAAATAGTCAGGACAAGTCTGGACCGATCTTACCCGTTAAGATATGGTAAGTGAGGATCAAGTCTCCTCTAATTCTGCGGTAATGCATTGAGTACATACCCGAGCTAAGCAAACGTTCCGGATACGTTTGCCCTCGTAAACCCTGCACTAACCTTGTACCCACTCGCAAAACCCACTCCAGTTCCATTTTGTTCGTTAGAAGACAAGGTGGACAAGTCTGGATACAGTATTCAAAGTGGGGTCGCACAAAAGCTGAGAAAAGCTTCACAAAAGTATCGGCCGTTAGGACACCGAAGAAGCGTCGAATAAAGCACATCATACGGAACCCTCTACAAGTAGCCTTCCTCCAATTGTCCCCAGTGAAGCACTGAGGTATGGATGATACTTAGATCAACCTACTAAGTGACAACAGGGATTTTACTTCCATCAACTACATGGCGCGTGGGTGGACTAGCATCTCCAATGCGGAGGACAGAACATTTCGCCTGATTTATAGGCATCAATCTTAAAATTGACCAATCCCACAGCCTATCCAAGACACTCTGAAGTGCCCCAGAGCCACCAGGGATATCCACAATATTCCAGAGATTGAGGTCATCAGCAAACAATAGCGACGGTACTTCAAGCTCCTGGGGTAGGTCATTGACATAAATTGCGAAAGCGAACCGAGCCCTGCGGAATGTCACTAAGAACAGCTTGTCTAAGTGAAAGACTACGTTCCAGACGTGCACTTGCCTCTATAGAAAAGTAGGAACCCATATAAGGGCGGCTGCAGGTATCCCATACAATCACATCTAAGCAGTGGGTAGCCATGTAGCCACACTTCAATCTGTGATAGGCGGAGACAAACACGTCGCAGTGAGAGCAAGTATGCCGGAACCAGTGTCGGTTACAAGTATACTCGCTGGTTCCTAGACCCACCTTGTGTACCTTATTCCATAGGTTACGCACATGACTAGGCACTACGCACATGAGCGCACCACGACCAGCCCTGGGTCGCACGCTACTAGTAGGGGTTCTGGTAGGGCAGAATTTGCCTTTCAGCTGAGCAACCGAAAACCTCAAGTCAGAGGGTTTAGTAACACGCCACCCATCAACTTCTGGAGTTATCAGATTCAGATGGACTGGAACGATAGGAAAATCCCTTGAGTGTTCCTTCTTGAGCAAATCGTTGAGCCAGGAAATGATAAGGTGTTAGTTCTTGATAGATCTAAAACGAAACACCCGAAACACACCCTGATCAACCAATTACTGCCCACGTTCCGTGCACTAGCAGTCCGCGCTGTGTAGTTTACGTGAAGTAAGAAAGAAGTAGAAAGTAAATGGAAGATAAAGGGGAGTGAAAGTCATTTAAATGAAGGATAACACTAAAGGTTGAAGAGAATGACAGAATAAGAACTGAAAGTTTGAAGATGGATATGGTCAGGAGAAGGGAAAGGTTTCGTGTTGCCACCCAAGAGCGTCTAACTGACGCTCGAAACCCTTAACCGTAGGTTCACTGACTACATTTTCTGGAAGCGAGTTCCAGCGCTCGATAATTCTACGCGATAACCGAGTTTCCGCCCTGATCCCGTCAGAACGCGGCTTGTGTAGCTTCATGGGATGACCGCGAAGACAAGGCAACCTAGCCGGGCTAAATAGCCAGCGCAAGCCCGGCCCAACCTTCCCTGTTAAAATGCGGTAAGTAAGGACGGGGCCGAATGAAAGCTGAGAACAGCTTCACAAATATGTCGGCAGTTAAGACCCCGAAAGAAAGGGGTATTAACCATAACATTCTGAAACCCCTACTAGCGGCCTTCTTCCAGTTGTCACCAGAATGCAAAGACGAGGAATGCACGACACCTAGATCTATCTGGTTGGAGACAAGGTGGAGTTCGACCCCACCGAGTACGTAGCTCGAAGGCGGGAAAGTTGCTTCTATACGACGAAAGTGAACGGTCACCCAACTACTTCAAAATACTCTGTTATATTCTATGTGTCATAAGCCCACAAAGACCAATCATACAACTAGACCAGTCCAGAGATCTTCTGCGTACTCCATGTTTTGACTAAAATGCTTGCTCAATGGATGCCTCAG